GCCATTTGCATTGGACGATGAGGAGAAGTACTTATCTCTTTCTCTTAAAAAAGATGGTTCTGCCAGTACATGAAACATTGATTTTCATAAAACCACGTTTATCTTGCTTTCCCAAATTATCTTTATGCCTGTTAGCAATAATGGCACTGGGTTTAATAAAATTTTTCAAGTGCAGGTATCGAGGTTGCGAGCCTTTGGTTCTCTCCTGCCCGAGTTGCTCCGGAACTTTCGAGTGCTCGCCCATATTTAGCTCAGTCTATGCGTTGATGAATACAAAGCCAACAGACAAGCAACCAGCCAATAATTTTTGGCACAATTTGCGCTGTCCAAATTGTCCAGCTGAAATAGACGGCGGGAGAATATCTCCTGCTATTATTGCAAACCAGGTAACTTCATTTCGGCTTTTGTGAATAGGAATGGGTCTTGTTTAAACAGACCTCATCTATGCTTATCTTTTATGAAAAAAATATAACTTTATGGCAATTTATTAAAATGAATTGTCTTTTAGTAATTTATATCATCTAACATGCTACACATTGAGTTTGTATCTCTGATCAGAAGCCCTAGCCAAGCCTTGACCGGTTGCCTGGTCCGGCCCGATACTGACTCCTATATTTATGACAGATTCGATGCATTTGTTTTCAGTTGACTGTAAATAATGTTATAAAATTTGTCCCACACGTAGAAGTTCGTACATACTTCCAACATTTCATTCAACTATTGCCTATTTTTCTATCAGGTAAAAAGACAATCCGAAGGATTCATGGCAACATACTACGAGGGATTGATGATGGTATTTCACTTGCATGAAACTAATCACGTTTCCACAACCAAATTTGACACGCACGCCTCAGTCTGTTTTTTATTTATTTATTTATTTATTTATTTATTTTTTTAACAGTGTGACGACGAAACATGCAATTACACTACACGTAGCGTGAATCTTCGCGTGATTGGTGATTCTACTAAAGGAACCACATGTCCCAACTACCCACGTTGTAATGGACACCTCAAATTACAGGTTTGTACCGTAAAACCATCCTTTTTGCAACATCAGAGTAACATTATCCGATGAACTGTAGTTACTGATTTTTATTTCCTATTTTGTTTTCATTCACTACTCCAATTAGTACACGGAAGCAGATCTGTACATGCAGCTATCGTATTTCTGCTACACTCTAGACACCTTGCGCTGCATTGAGAAGGTTACATACATATTATTTTACTTGCATTTCGACTTAGGTGAAAAATAGGGCCACTTAAAATTTTTTACTGAAAATTCAGGTTGAGGGTGATAAAAGGTTGCCCCTGGAAAAGGAGCTAGCTAAAATCAGGCCACTGGTCGAACTAGCAGCATCAACAATACAGAAAATTCGCGACAGAAGTGCTTATGGGTGGGTTCAGCTGAAAGACTTGATTGTGTTTGTTAGTTTAACTTTGAGATCAATTTGAGAGCACTGTTCTCAGATTGTATAGTAAACACATATCAATAATGTACATTTTTTAAATACTTGTATATAACTTTAATTCAATTATTTCGTGACAAAATTAAACATATAACTTGGAAATATTATTTTTGGAACTTCTACGCCATTTACAGACCATTCACATGTTCATGTTTGAATATAAAATAAATGAATTAGAAAAAAAAAAAGCACACTCTAATCCAATGCATAGTTAGAACATTTATTCTTCCTTAATGAGGGAATAGAAGGAATTTCAAAATGCTTATCTATTAATTAGGGGAAGAGGATTTTTAAACAAATGATAATTAGCATGGATGGAGGATCTTTCCATGAAATGAAAACACCTAGAAGTAAAGATGCAATCAACCCAAGAGCGCTTGGATGAGATGGTTTGAGTTTATTCCATCTTAACCAGTGGTCTCGAGTTCGAGCCCTGGGAATGCAGCAATGTTAAAACTCTTGAGGGAGAGCTTTGCCGCCCTTGTGGTCCTACCCGGCTCGATTCCGGATTAGTCGGTTCTCCTGTGGATCCGGAAACTGGAAGGTCCCTGTACCAAAAAAAAAAAGATGCAATCACACCTACAAGAACGAAATAATAGGAAAACTATTACACTTCCTGTCTATAATCTAATCTATAATCTATCTTTTATATGAGTCATTTCTTCAAAATTTTGAAATGTCCATATTACCCTCTAGAGATTTACCTTTTAAGAACATAAATGTAATATTATAACTTTGGAAAAATTCTCTCTCTATTTTGGAGATGGTCTCGTTCCTTTGATAGGAGATGACCCCCTTCCTTCCGTAGGAGTTTGGTTCTTGATCTGTTGATGTTGTAGCTCCGTTTAATTCTTGTTTCCCTCCGCTGTGTCCCTCGTCTTATCCCTATTCTTAGTTCTTTTCTCTTTATCTCTTGTTGCATTTCTAGGTTTTTTTTTCTTTTCTTTTTCTAATTTAGGGTTTCCTTTTTCATTTTTATCTCTGCAGGCATTTTGGCTACCCCCACTTCTCAGCTGCTTAAGTTCTGATTCTCTCATATAGAGCAAGAGGTAATTGCCAAGTTCAGTAGGTTTGATCTTTCGAACAAAGAAAAATCAGGTGTTTCGCTGGCTGAGACATACATAGAACTGGGTGTTTTGGAATGTGAGAGAAGTCTAATTGGAAAAATAGCAGGGGAAAAGAAAATTAGCTTGGGAGGACTGAAAACTACTATGAGTTTCATTTGGAGAACATCGAAGCCCTTCTCCATCAGAATATTAGGGGAAAACCTATTTCAATTTCTTTTCCAAGCTGAGGAAGACAAGGTGAAGGTGCTAAAAGACAAAGCTTGGTCCTTTGATGGACAATATCTGCTACTCAAGGAATGGCAGAAGAATCAGATCGAATTTACCGTTGAGGAGCTTAAGGTTGAACTGTGGGTCCAGATCCATCACCTACCTCTACATTGGATCTCTGAAGAGACTGGTCTCAAGGTTGGAAAGCTTTTCGGAAAAGTTAATGCTGTTGTGATTCCGGGACTGGGCAGTCTCCATGGTAGAATTGTGAGAATACTAACAGAGGTGAATCTCATGGAGCCGAGCATTGGGTAGAATTCAGGTATGAAAACCTGTTAACCTTCTGTTTCTACTGTGGCTTTATTGGTCATAATGATAGGCAATGTGAGATTAAGAGAGGAGATCTGAATAGGAATGTGTTTAGGACCGGGCAATTTAGGGAATGGCTTAGAAGCTCTTATGGAGGATTCCCTGACCCTAAAGAGAGAAAATCTTCTAGCCCTCCCATTACCCCTGCCAAATCTAATTCTGTGTCTAGTACTGCTAAAACCACTGAGGTGGTTGGGTCAAACCCTTGTGAGAAGGAGAAATCCCTGTTAGCTCCTCCTCTAAACCTAACACTCCTATTGTGGTAGGGGGTAAGGATAAAGGCAAGAGTTCTGAAGTTTTTCTTAATGAGTCAGTTAAAGCTAACTGATGAAGACGAGATTGCGCTCGCTTTCTTGGATCGGCACGAGCGGTTGGCGTCATTAGTTTAAGTTATTTATGCTTATTTGCCACTATTCGCATCATTTTCTTATCTTTTATTTTTATTCTTCTAGAAGGTAGGATTTTTAATTATTAGTAGACTTTATCTATTATCATGAGATTAGGAGGATAAGGACTCTCATAATGAGAAGGACTCTTCTCTATTTATCTGTACTCATGAAATCGTTCTCGGCAGTGAAAAAATATTACAACTTCAGTTCGTAAGAATTATATCTTGTTCCTTTGTGCTTCTTGCTGCGTCAGTTGGTATCAGTGACCAGCCACGATCCGCGATGCCTCCGAAGCGGAATAACAACGTCGATGAGCATCGGGATGCCGCGATCGAAGCCCTCTTTTGTTGTTGTGAAGCATCCGACCGACTCACGGAGACGTTAACCGCGAGGGTCGAGGAGTTGACGGTGGCCGTCAATACCGGCAGAAATGGCAACCACATGAACCGGGACCGCGGCGGACGGCCCGGGGAACAACACGGTGGTCGGGGCCGTGGAGGACGAGCAGGACCTCGCGGACGATCGCCGATTTCTTGGGACGGTGATGGTGAGGAGGAGGACGACACCGTCTCCGATTTGAACCCCTTTTGACATCCAGACGTGGGCGACGAAGTTCCGGCGGCAGCCGCGCGTTGGAAGTCCTCGTTCAGGGTTGATATCCCCGAATTCACAGGCGGACTGGAAGCGTCTGAATTCTTGGATTGGATGGCCACTGTCGAATCCGCTCTCGACTTTAAGGAGGTTCCGGAATACTCTCGCGTTGATCTCGTCGCGACTCGTTTAAGGGACCGGGCTGCCGCGTGGTGGAGCCAACTCAAGGCGTCGCGACGTAGGCTGGGAAAATCCAAGATCACTTCTTGGAATAAATTTCGCAAACACTTGGAACGTGAGTTTCTTCCATTTAATTACATGCGCTCACTGTTTATGCAATTTCAAAATTTACGGCAGGGACAAGGTTCCATTAATGATTATACAGACAAATTCTATCGACTTCTCACGCGATTGGATGTGCGGGAGACGACCGACCAGCTGATTTCACGTTACATTGGCAGTCTTCGGTTGGCGATACAGGATACTCTCATACTATTTTCTCCGGATTCCGTGTCCGACGCCCATCAACGGGCCCTCGTTATCGAACAACAGCTGGCCCGTCGTGCATCTGCAGCTTTCTTTCCGTCGCGTGTGGGTTCGCAGGGGGCAGCATCCGCAACAGGCAGATCACCCGTGGCCGGGGGCAGTACGTCTTCAGCGGTTATTCCGGCGACTCGTGGGGCAGCACAACCACCGGGAGGTTTTACTCTGTCGACGGCAACGGCGGGAACTTCCCAGCAGCAGCTACCTCCCGCGGCCTCTCGCCCAGCAAGCGGTCTTCGGTGTTTTTCTTGTGGAGAAATTGGGCACCGCCAATCGGCATGTCCGAAGTTCAGCGGCGGTCGTACGCTTATGGCGGATGAGGTGTTTGATATGACAGAGGGAGAATTGTATGAGTCGGGGCCTATTTTTGACAAGGAACCGCTTATGGGCGAGGAACATTGGTGTGGGGACGTTGGCCCGACACTTGTTTTACGGCGTTCGTGTTTGGCTCCACGAGTTGGCCCTGCCGAGTCGGTGCAACGACATCATATTTTTGAGTGCACATGTATCATTGGAGGTAAGGTGTGTCGTTTCATTATTGATTCGGGTTCCTGTGAGAATGTGATCGCTCAAGAGGCCGTGGATAAATTGTGTTTGACGACCGAGCCTCATCCGCAGCCGTATACTTTAGCCTGGATTCAGCGAGGGAATGCAATCACCGTGGATCGTCGTGTGTTGGTCTCTTTTTCCATCAGACCTCGGTACCGTGACTCGGCTTGGTGTGATGTCGTACCAATGGATGCTTTCCACCTTTTGTTGGGTCGTCCTTGGCAGTTCGATCATTCAGCGACTCATGATGGTCGACTTAACACATACAGTTTCTTGTTTGAGGGTGTTAAAATTGTCCTCCATCCGGCTCCCATTCGGTCCTTACCAGCGCCTGATCCTTCGCCAGTTTTATTTCTTTCTCAGTCCGCGTTCGACGAAGAGATGCGCTAGGCACCTTTTGTTCTCTTATTATGGGCTGCTGACTTATCTTCGGAGCTGTTACCTCCGCCGGCTGTTCGCCAGTTATTGGAGGAGTTTTCCGATGTTTTTCCTGAGAACCTTCCGGACGGTCTACCTCCTCTCCGGGATATACAACATCAGATTGACCTGATTCCGGGCACCTCTCTTCCTAATCGGCCTCATTATCGGATGAGCCCAGCGGAACATGACGAGCTACGGCGACAGGTGGAGGAGTTGTTACAGAGTGGCATGGTGCGCCGTAGCCTGAGTCCCTGTGCTGTACCAGCCTTGCTTATTCCGAAGAAGGACAGATCATGGCGAATGTGCGTGGATAGTCGGGCGATTAACAAAATCACCGTCCGTTACCGGTTTCCTATTCCCCGACTTGATGATTTATTGGATCAGCTGCACGGTGCCACCATCTTTACGAAGCTCGATCTCCGTAGCGGCTACCACCAGATACGTATTCGTCCGGGTGATGAATGGAAGACGACATTCAAAATTCGGGAGGGCTTGTTCGAGTGGATGGTGATGCCTTTCGGGTTGTCCAACGCGCCCAGTACTTTTATGAGGGTCATGAACCAAGCACTCCGGGATCTTATCGGTAAGTGTGTTGTCGTTTATTTTGACGATATTCTTATTTACAGCCGTACTCTTGAGGATCATCTGCTGCATTTGCGTGCTGTCTTGCATATTCTGCGTACTGATTCTTTCTATGCGGCACCTCGAAAGTGTGTTTTCTTGGTGGATTCTGTGTTGTTTTTGGGCTTCGTAATATCTGCTGCAGGTGTTCGCGTGGATGAGAGTAAGGTGGCGGCTATCCGTGATTGACCGTCCCCTGCCTCGTTCATCGAGGCTCGAAGTTTTCATGGGTTGGCATCCTTTTATAGACGGTTCATTGCTCATTTCAGTTCCATTGTTGCACCGATTATAGACTGTCTTACTGGGAAGTCCTTTATTTGGACTCCTCAGGCGGCCGCGACTTTTGTTCTTATCAAGGAGAAGCTCACATCCGCTCCCATCCTAGTACTTCCTGATTTTCCGCGCCCTTTTGAGCTTTCTTGCGATGCTTCCAAGGTCGGCATTGGCGCAGTGTTGAGTCAGGAGACACGACCGGTAGCCTTTTTCAGTGAAAAGTTATCTGGTCCTCGTCTTCGGTACAACACTTACGACGTGGAGTTCTATGCGGTGGTGCGTGCTGTTCGTTACTGGCGCCACTATCTATTCCATCGGGAGTTTGTGTTGTTCACTGATCACGAGGCTTTACGACATCTCGCTATGCAGGATAATATTTCTTCTCGCCATGCTTCGTGGACTGCTTTCCTTCAGCAGTTTACCTTTGTTTTGAAGCATCGTTCTGGTGCGTCTAATCGGGTTGCTGATGCTTTGAGTCGGCGCACCTTGGTTCTAACTGATATGCGAATAGCAGTGGTTGGGTTTGATTTGCTGAGGGAAACTTATGAGCACGACGCATTTTTTGGGCCTATTTGGGTTCGTCTGTCGTCCGGTCCTTTTGATGACTATGTGCTTACCGATGGGTTTATATTTCAGGGTGTTCATTTATGTGTGCCAGATTGTAGTCTTCGCTTAAAGCTGGTGGGCGAGTTGCATGGTGCGGGTCACGTGGGCCGTGATCGTTCGGTGGAATTGGTCCAGCGCCATTATTTTTGGCCGACTTTGCGCCGTGATGTCACACGTTTCATCGCTCGCTGTCGTGTTTGTCAGATTTCGAAGGGGGTTGCCTCAAATGCGGGGCTTTATCGTCCTCTGCCAATTCCATCTCAGCCTTGGACTGCTATAAGCATGGATTTTGTTCTTGGCCTGCCGCGTACTCAGCGTGTCTATGATTCCATCTTTGTTGTGGTCGACCGTTTCTCGAAGATGGTGCATTTTATCCCGTGCAAACGCACGACTGATGCTGTTCATGTAGCCCAGTTGTTCTTTCGCGAGGTCTACCGTCTGCATGGTCTTCCTACATCTGTTGTGTCTGATCGTGACGCACGTTTTCTCAGTTTCTTTTGGCGCAGCCTGTGGCGACAGGCTAACACACGTCTGGACTTCAGTAGCGCTTACCATCTTCAGACGGACGGTCAAACTGAGGTCGTCAATCGTTCTTTGGGTAATCTATTGCGGTGTTTAGTGGGGGAGAACTTGCGTAGCTGGGACCAGCGACTCAGCCAGGCCGAGTTTGATCACAATTCCGCCGTTAATCGTTCGACTCGCCTATCTCCTTTCCAGGTTGTGATGCCGTCCAGCCGAGGGGGCCGACCGACTTGGTCGCCTTGCCGGCGGCTACTCCTATTGACCGCCGTGCCGAGGATTTTGTGTCCGACTTGCAGTGCACACATGCCGCGACTCGGGCCGCGTTGGAGGCCTCAACAACAGCTTATAAGCGGCGTGCTGATTCCCGTCGCCGCCATGTCGAGTTTGCGGTGGGCGACTTTGTGTGGGCCGTCTTGACAAAGGATCGGTTTTCGGCCCATGAGTACAGCAAGCTAGCGGCACGTAAGATTGGCCCTGTTGAGATACTGGAAAAGATCAATCCGAATGCTTATCGCCTACGCCTTCCGTCGCATGTTCGTACGTCCGATGTTTTCAACGTCAAGCATTTATTCCCGTTCCTTGGGGACAACTCCGACAAAGATGAGATTGGTCGAGATTCGAGGGCGAATCCTTCTCAACCGGGGGAGGATAATGAAGACGAGATTGCGCTCGCTTTCTTGGACGGCACGAGCGGTTGGCGTCATTAGTTGAAGTTATTTATGCTTACTTACCACTATTCGCATCATTTTCTTATCTTTTATTTTTATTCTTCTAGAAGGTAGGATTTTTAATTATTAGTAGACTTTATCTATTATCATGAGATTAGGTGGATAAGGACTCTCATAATGAGAAGAACTCTTCTCTATTTATCTGTATCATGAAATCGTTCTCGGCAGTGAAAAAATAATACAACTTCAGTTCGTAAGAATTATATCTTGTTCCTTTGTGCTTCTTGTTGCGTCACTAACCCTCAGCCTATGAGGGCTGCTGATGCTGATAATGTTGAGAAGGGAGGCAGTGTCTGTGAAATCATGGAACTTGATAGTGCTAAGGATCAAGTCTTAAATCATGATTACCTGATTAACATTCCTTTCATCAGGATAAATCTACTCCTTTTTGTGCTAAAAAGACCAAAACCTTTTCTGGGGTTATTAGGAATAGAGGTAAAAATGTCCAATCTTCAGTGTCTCAAGATGTTATCTCTGAGTATCTTCCCTCTAATTTCATTTTGAAAAGAAAAAACCCTGAACAACTGATTGATCTCCCTGTTCAAACTGAGCGTGTTTCCAAAAAACTAAAAATTGTTCAAAATGAGACTGATAATGTGGTGGAGGAAACCAACCATAACTGGTCCCAAGTTTCCAAATGAGAGTTTTGGTGTGGAATTGTAGAGGTCTGGGAGGACCCTCTACAATTTCCCAGTTGAAGGACAATGTCAGAGCCTACCTTCCTGATTTTATATTTTTGTCAGAAACAAAAAAACAAAAATCTTTCATTCAAACTGTTTGTAAAAATTTGCATTTCAATAGTTATCCTTGGGGAAACTTGTCGTATGGGTACACCGTAAAGTTTTTCAAGCGGAACACTTTCGGTAAAATAAAAAACCCAAAGTCGATACAGTATTCTCTTCACGGATTTCCCCTAGTTGTCATGGTATATTTGATATAAATATATGTTTATGCTATTTCTTATTTATTTATGTTAGTTGTATTCTTAATGTTGTTTTGTTGTTTGCTAATCAGGTTTGGGCATTTGAGGCACTGCCTGAGTTAGGAAGACAATTTGGTGAACACTGTTCTACTGGCGGACTTCCGAGAATAATGTGTTGGAAAATGGACAAACATTTGCGAAGCGAGCAACTTACTACGTTTTTTAACACTTCGGAGGTAATTTGAGTTATGGATAATTCATCTTATTTATTCTTATAGTTTTGAAAAAACTAATTATTCTACAATCAGGTTCAAGTTCGACGAATGTTACAACCTTCAAGTGATGAAGTTGAAACTTCATACTTGAAGGATTTCAGCATAACTTCAGAGGAACAAGAAATTCTGCCTCACGATGAGGAAGAAGAAGAAGGAGAAAAAAATGAGGCTGAGGATGAGGATGGTGAGGAAGAGGAGGAAGAGGAAGAAGAAAAAAATGATACATCTCAATCCTATCCACCACAACCCCAAGTTTTTTATGCTGAAAATATTCGAACTATAGTCAGGGAAGTTGTGACGGAAGTTGTGAAGGACGAGATGAGCATATTTTCTGAGCGAATGGAGATGAAGATGGAGATGAATATGGAGCGAATGGAGATGAAGATGAACATGAAGATGAACAATTTTTTTGACCGAATAGAAAAATTAGTATTTCAAGCAAAAGCTGGTCCATCTACCCGTGCTACCTATGACGGGACAAATGTTGATGAAGAGGTTGATCCGGAGATTAATATGCGGGATACGGAGACCGGTCGAACAATAGATGGTGTTGAAGGTATTTTTCTAAAATAACTGCATCATATCAAGGTTCTTACTCGATTATTAAAAAAAAATAGAAGAAGTTATTGTAATATTTTTTACATAAAGATATATTTTAATTTAAATGCAACATGTTATGTAATATCCCGATATTTCATCGGAATAAATTACGTTTAATTCCGATATAATAGTGTAATCGTTTATTATTTTCGGAATTAATTAAGTTCAGTCGGGATTACCGAAATGTATTTTCGACGTACCGTTTACGTTCGAAATAATTTTGGTAATTAAGTAGTATGTTTAATTAATAATTAAACATAAAAATTACGTGATTAATCATTGATTAATCAAAGTCAATATCCCAAAGCCGTGTCATTTGGGGGAAATTTTCCCAAATTCCAAATCAAAAAGCCGTAGCCTTTTTGTTTAATGCCATAAGTTTCCTCTTCATTAAGGAAATCATGTTTCCTTCTTATTTTGAGTATAATACTTGGCAAATAAATAAGGTGCTTAGTCACCATGAAGTCCTTTAAGTATTAACAATTGGAAACACATAAGAAGGGCCACGTCTCTAGTACATCATCAATTTTTTTCACGGCCTAAGGTTATAAGGAGGATTTTGGGGCGAAATTGTTCCTTACTTTTCCCCTATATGACGTGAGCAAATTACTCATCAGAGAATAAACTTCCAGCAACCAAAAAGATCAAGCAAA